AGTTTCCAGTGTACTCACTGTGTTTTGCATCTGTGCCTTAAGTGATGCTGAGAATGATGCCATCAGTGGACTTGAACTCTGGATGATGTGGACCATAATGTTAGAGCATATACTAATTATAAAACAAAGAAAGAAAGAAAGACAATGTGTAGTGATGTATTTGCCAGGAGGGGGTGGTATTGGACAATTAAGACAACTGGCATAACTTAGATGCTTTGTGCAATTGCTGTTGAGTGCCCTGTCTGCTGGGTCCCATATAGCAATCTGACTCGTAGCTCTAATGGTTTATTATTCGCACATCTTCTGTCTTTAATGATCAAAATGTGTATCAGTATCATTAATATGATAAGGCTAGATATTACAACTGTAACAAGTGTTCATAAGACCATAAAATTATTTTTGTTTTTCTTTTTTTGTTACCTCTTCCTGCTTAAAATCTTTAAAACACCCTCTGAGGAAAGTTAATTTGAAACAAGAGAGAAGAAATGACAAAAGCAATATCATTAACAGATATTACAGTATGTTTTTATGTAACTGTAATTGAATATTTTTATTACTTTTATAGCATTTAATTGAATATGTTTATTACTTTTATTGCATTATTTTTATTGCAAATAATCTTTGTGATATGTCTTATTAGTTGTTATCTATTTAGGTGGTGTCTATTAAGAAAACATTTTCAGCCTTTGGCCTTTTCACATTAGTTTCAGTGTCTGCATGCACATAGACTTAATTGCTTTAATTGGGTTTTATTGTGAAGGTCACCCAGGCATCATTTTAATAATTACCTGGCAACCCACTGCATCTCTGTGCCATGCCTGTTTCCACCCATAGCCCTAAGACATACAGTATGGGGCAGATAACATGGAAAATGGAATCTTGTATCTTGTAAATGTTTTAAATTGTTAATTTGAATTTTAATGAACAAGATCACATCAGGTTTAGTCTGTTTCACATTATATATATAATATTAATATAATCATACTATGAAATGATATTATAGCCATAAATATTATAAGGTACAGTCATTTAGTTGCTTGACACTGATTCCTTGCTGCTGACTGTTGAAGGCCCCATGATTTACTGGGGTCCAACACAGTACAAGTGAAAATCTGGGTAACTGTGACATGTTTTGTGCTATTTTTATACTGGCACTTTTACTTTCCATAAAAGCAAAACTCTACAGAACAGATTTTTCTTGTTTGATCAGACTTCTATGAGTTCTGTAGATTGTTGTTTTGCACATTACAAAGTCAGTTACAACTCATATTCCTATAGAGTAATACAGGCTATATTCTATTCCTATTGAGCCCAGTCTGTTAAGGAAATGGTTTGAGGTTAATATACTGTGATTATATTTTAGCTTTTATCTTTAAGTAACATAAAGCAGTAATTTTTAGTGGTTTTACATTACCATGAGTCAAAATTTGTTTCATGCTAAAAGGCACCAACAGTGCACATGTTACCTCTGCTCAAAAAAAAAGGAAAGAGAAATGAATGAATGAATGAGACATGGCATATATACAGTTTAATTTCCACAGTAAAAGCAGGTACGTACTGGTGCTTTATTTCATGGTTTTCTTATCAATGTTGACGTAAAATGCAGATGCTCGTACTACTTATTTATTATGGCTCTTAATCTTTTGTTGAACTTTATTC